ACATAACATAACGTTCATCTCCTCCTGGTATCTACTCACCAGTCTGGGGGGAGAAGGGGTCATCGGCGGCGTTCAGACACAAGATGGGTACAGCTGTATTGGGGAGCTTTTTGTCTGGACTGGCATCATGGTAATAATCCGTACAAGATTTATAACCAAACAGCAGAGACGTGAAGCGTTCATCGAACTCACGGATAGTCCGCGCCTAGAACAGAGGCTCACATGAGTCGACAGCAGAGGGAAAAGGCAAACATGTCTTCAAAAGGTGTCGTACCTTCAGGACGTAGTCGACATCCACCACTTTCTCCAGAATCTTCCTGTGCCTGTGAGAAACAGAGGTTTTTGTTTTTTTTTTAAAAACTTGGTCTACAACCGCAATTTGTTGAGCTACATGCAACTCGTCTGACCTGATGACGGCACGGCAGAGGCCACTCGTGAGGTATTTGTTAAAGAGCAGCCAGTTGAGAGGTTCTTCCATCGAGTCAGAGGACTTCAGAGCATTCCAGGGGACGGAGATGGTGATACCTGCCACCATCCCTGATTCTGTGCGCTTACGGGCCAGATAGTTCAACAACACCATGCTGCAGAGGGCGCAAGAAGAGCAGAAAAAAAACCCCAGAAAAAGACGTCAAAGATGGAGGACATTTAAATCAAATCAAGCATAAATTTGACCCATTTTCTCAGCATGCCAGAGGAAACCATCCCACTGCAGCCCAACTCACCCTCCCAAAGACACACCAGCACCAAGCACGGGGGCGTGAGGGTAGAGTCCTTTAACATGGGTCACCACGCGCTCAAGATCGGAGGTGTTAGCAGCGCAGTAGGTCACCGGCGTCTCAAGCGAGCAGAGGGACAGAGGAGGAGCGTTACATGAAGCACTAGATTACCGTTAGCGTGAACTCCTGAACAACAGCTGATCCAGAATATCCAGCAATGCTGCAGTCGGTCTCTCTGTGCATTTAAAACCACACGTGTTCCTATTAAACATGTAAACCTCTGAAAAATATGTGTGCTTTTCTATTGTAGAGGGGCA